GGACGTTCTGCTGAAAAAAGGAAAAAAAAAAGCCAGTTTTCTCCTTAAGAGGCTCTGCATCCAGCATTTAAAATCACATTTCCCCTTCCCGCTCTGCATTTATTGAGCACTGGCTGTGTTAGAAGACCTACAGGAAGGGCTAGAGACACAAAGACAGAACTGGCAGGTGCTATCCGAAGCCAGAGTGGCCACATGGCCCTGCTCCTGGGTTCTAGCCTCAGCCTTGACGGCCCAGCCTCAGACACAACGCAAGATGCCACACACAGGATCGCAGCAGGCTCAGGGCACAGACCCACCACCCATGCACCCGTGAATTGACACAAAGGCTACACACAAGCTCACACACACACACACACACACACGCGCGCGCATACACACACACTGTCTCTGCGCTAATTCTCGCTTTTGATCACAGCCTCTCGTCTGTCATTACCACTCAGTGTTGACAAAGCAAAATAAAAAGAAAGAAAGAAATCCACCCTGTCACTTGGACTCCCCCCCCCCCCCCCCACCCTTGGCGCCCCCCCCCCCCACCCCCGCCTTTGTATTATGGGTTTATGTCAAGGTATGTTGGATTCTAAATTAAATGTCAGCCCACCGTACATTTCTGGCTCCAGCCGCAGAAAATGAGGAGCTGGCTTTGGAGACCATCCAGTCGTTCAGCTCCCCGTGCCTAACCATGAGGGGTGACAAGCCCATTGAATCACTGCACGGTAGCTTTACACGCCACGGGAAGCCAAGATACATTTATTTTTAATGATAAATGTGACTGTCAGAGTTAAGTTGAAAGAGCTTTATGGTGAGAGCTGAGTGCCCTTGGCAGTGCGGGCTAGAGGCTGAGTGGATGGGGACCAGAGGTCCTGACCTTCTGGCCAGCCAGTCCCCCAGGCCCCGAGAGACCAGCACGTTGGCTATTCAGCCCACGTCTGCTAAGCCCTGCTGCAACGCTGGCTCAGTGCCGCTTGCTGGGTGGCTCAGTGCCAGCTCTGGCAGACCAACAGGCATCAAGGTATTGAAGAAAAAGAAGGTCTCTGGAAGTGCTCAGATCAGGGTTCAAATTCTGCCTCACCAATGGCTGTGTGGTCTTGATCAAGTTACTTAACCTCTCTGAACTTTCTGTTGCCTCATCTAGAAAATGAGGCTAATAATAACACTTACAAGTCTTGGGTGAGGATTACTTGAAATAAGATGGTATTGCTGCCGGGCGCGGTGGCTCACGCCTGTAATCCCAGCACTTTGGGAGGCCGAGGCGGGTGGATCACGAGGTCAAGAGATCGAGACCATCCTGGTCAACATGGTGAAACCCCGTCTCTACTAAAAATACAAAACATTAGCTGGGCATGGTGGTGCGTGCCTGTAATCCCAGCTACTCAGGAGGCTGAGGCAGGAGAATTGCCTGAACCCAGGAGGTGGAGGTTGCGGTGAGTCGAGATCGTGCCATTGCACTCCAGCCTGGGTAACATGAGTGAAACTCCGACTCAAAAAAAAAAAAAAAAAAAAGATGGTATTGCTAATGGTATTGCTGTATCTAGTACAAGGAAAATGTTTGGTCAATGGTAATTCCATACTGGTATTTGTTTTTTGAGACAGAGTCTCGATCTGTCGCCCAGGCGGAGTGCAGTGGCACGATCTCAGCTCACTGCAACTTCCACCTCTCAGGTTCTAAGTGATTCTCCTGCCTCAGCCTCCAGAGTAGCCGGGATTACAGGTGTGTGTCACCACACCCGGCTAATTTTGTATTTTAGTAAAGACGGGATATCACCATATTGATCAAGCTAGTCTCGAACTCCTGACCTCAGGTGACCTGTCCACCTCTTTCTCCCAAAGTGCTGGAATTACAGGTGTGAGCCACTGTGCCTGGCCCCATATTAATTATATCACCTTATTAATTACACAATTACCCAGGTATGTAACTTACCTTTCTAAATCAGTTTCCTCATCCACAAAACAGGGACAATAGTACCCACTTATTAGGGTGGCTGGGAGGATGTGAGGTGCCCACCACAAGGCTGAGCATAAAGGTGCTGCCAACAGGTGGCTGCTAGTCAAGGCTGGCACTGGAATGTTGTCCCCCTTTGTCCCCGGCTGCTCTCCCTTGTCTCCCCATGGGCTCTTCTCTCCACCCCTCCAATGTTGCGGTACTGCCTGCCCTGCATCCGCACCCTGCTAAGGGAGGGGTCCTGCAGTGGGACCCCGGCAGCCATGCCCCCACACTGGATCTGACCAAGATCTGAGTGGTTGGTATCTTACCAAGGACAGCTGCCTTTGGCCATCTGCCACCTATGACTGCTATGCCCTGGTTCAGTCCTAGAGAGGAGTTGCCTGTTGGTGGGGCCATCAAAACCAGGTAGCCTTGGAAAGGCAAAGTAGGAACAGGCAGAATTGGTGAGCCAGAGAGAGGGAAGTCAGGGGACAAGCAGAGTGTGAACAAGCGTACCAGGCAACCTCGAGTCTAGTCCCATGCAGCCTCTGGGTCCTGGGTCTTCCCTGACAACGAATGCTCAGTCTTGGGCTGGCTGGAAAGTCCCGATTCCGTCCTGTCGCATCTGCTGAGCACAGCCAGCCTTGCCCCCAGGGCTCTATGGCCATCAACCTGTCCACGGGAAATCTTAGGGCCGAGGGCCTGTCTGCTCTGTGGGGTTGGCTGCTCTTTCTCTCGCACAGATCTTGGCTGTGGTCAGCACTGGCTTCTGGAATCCTCTTCCATTGTATTTCTCTCCACCGCATTCGGAGGCTCCATTGCTTGGGACGGCCCCCCTTCACCCAAGACAATGCCCTGTGTGTGTCTGAGCAGACACCCTCAGGCTCATGCCAGTCCTGCATCATGGCTGACGCTTCTCCTGGGGTGTTGAGCAGAGGCGTCAGCACAGAGGGCGTGACAGAATGAGGCCCGCCCCCAAAGACACATGTAAAGCACACCAGCAGGCTGGAAAGTTGAGGAACCTGTGGCTGAGCAGGTGAGATGATTCAGCCTCCAACCTCCTCCAACACTCCCAGGAGAAGCCGCTAGGTGGCCCCCGCTCACCTGTCCAACCGCCCTTCTGCAGGCCTGGGAGGAGATGGTCCGGAGCCTCCTCCCGTTGTCCAGTTTGCACCTGCCCAGGTACGCCCTGGTCACTCCCCGAGCTCCGCCTTCCCTTCTGCGGCCCCGCCATTGGAAATGCCTTTCCCTTAGCACCCAGAAGTTTGGATGCTGCCTTCATGAGCCTTGGGGGCAGGCTCACACCCCTCCATCCCAGGATGCTTCCCTGACTGCCTGGAGTACTCCCCCAAGACCTTCTCCATTGTCCCTTATCACCCCTCCCTCAGATTCTCCGTTCACCTCCCCCCACCCCCAGAGTGATCTTTTATCTGTGCACACACGTGTCTGGAGTTTACATCCTCTCCCCAAACTGTGGAATCAGAGCCTTGCAGTTCTGCCACCTGCCTGCTTTGTGCCTGTTACTGCACAGGGGCCTGCAAACCGCACCACTCCCCACCAATAGGCAAGTCCTTGCTTACCAGTAAACTGAGGCTTGGGGAGGACGTGGAATCTGCCCAAGGTCACAGCAGGAACATCTGAGCCTTGCCCTGCTCAGGTGCTGTGACACTGTGGCAGAGTCCTTCTGAAGCGTGTGCGGTTAACCCTTTGGCTTACATGGGGAAACTGAGGCTCAGAGAGTTATGTTGCTTGCCCTCGGCCACACAGCCAGGGCCCTGTGCCCTCCACCACATCCTTCCTCCTAAGCCTGAGGGCTCTCTAGGTCACGTGCTGACCCCCTTAATTCATAGGAAAGGCCCAGGGACGAGAAAGAGCCAGAGGCCAGAACTGGAACCTGGGTCTCCTGACTCCCAGTCATTGCCGCAGATCCTCTCCAACTCCCAGGCCGCCTCTGTCCGGGAAGCCGGGATCGGGCCGCAGGTGAGCCCAGCGGCCGTCCTGGAAGGAAAAGGCGGCTGGGGCAAACAGGTGGTTTGTGAACCCAGCGCCTGGCGGGTGACAGTCTCCTCGAATGGCACGGGGCCACAGTGGTCCCCGCTCTGGTGCCCAGGGAATGCCCCGGCCCAGGCTGGACGCTGCCCCCACCCCCAGCCAGCCTGCCCGGCCGGTGCGGGACGCGGAGAGGGATCGGGAGAGGGACGAAGACGGGGCGACAGACTGGCAGCCAGTGGGGGAGAGACGGAGACGGTGCCAGGGAACAGCGCGGCGGCCAAGGCGCCCCGGGAGCCGGAAAACAGCTTTGGGGAGAAGCGGGGGCGGGGAACGGGGGTGTCTATCTGAAGCTGGGGGAGCAAAAGATGGGGCCGCAGCAAGGGGCGGGGGAGGGGCGGCCGGCGGGCCCAGCGGGGCGGCGGGAGGGAAGCGCGGCGTCGGGCAGTGTGGGCGCCTCCTGGTCGGAAGCCACAATAGCAGCTCGTTCGCCGCGCAGATTAAGGACTTTGTCAATTACCTCGGAAGGCCGCTCCGGGCGGATTAAATGCTTTCAAAAGTGCTGCTGGTGGGAAGGGGCAACTAAGAAGCCCCCTCCCGGCACAAATCCCCTCCCGGCGTTGGAGGCGGCGGGGGCTGGGACCGCGCGGGGCGCGCCGGAGAGGGCCGGCAGTCGGCCGGGAGCGCGGGCAGAGCGCGGAGCGGCTGGTACTCCCGACCACAGCGCCGGCGGCTGCGGCAGCGGCGGGAACCCCCATTCCGCCCGCGGGCCGCCCGGGCAGAGGGGCGTCGGGCGGGCTCTCGGACCGCGGGCGCTAGGGCACTGGTCTGCGGACGCGAGCCGGGGCGACCCCAGGACCAGGCTCGCGCGTCGGGGTCCGGAGTGGGGAGGTCCGCGGGGGCTGACGCCCCCACAGCTGGGCGCGCTTGCCCCGGGACCTAGACCGAGACCTCGGGGGCCCGCAGGGAGCGCACCCCTCCGACCCCGCCCCGGGCCCAGCCTGAGTCTCGGGCCAACCCTGCGCCCTGAAACGCGAGGAGCGCCGCGCCACTACCCGGAGACTCCCGACTGCCCGGCGGGTGCGCCTTCGGGGCCCGCCCCGCGCCGCGCCCCCCGCGCAAGGTGAGTTGTGCGAGTCCCGCCCGGGAGGAAGTTTGTGCAGAGGCACTGTCGGAGCGGGGGGTGGTTCTCGGGCCCCGCTAGTGCGGGCGGGAGCCGGGCAGCCAGCGGCTGTTTGTTGCCCTCCGGCCGGACCCGCAGTCTGGAGGCCACTTCGGCCTCCTTTCTCTTGGCCTTTTCGGAGGCGGAGTTCACTATGCAAGTCCGCGGGTGTGTTGTGCGCGCGGGTGTGTGTGTGTGTCGGGGGAGGCCGAAGGGAGCCAGAAAAAGCGAAGAGTCCGAGACAAGACGCGGAGATTGAGAAGGAGGGAGGAGGGACGAGGGAGGAGAGAGGAGCGCGCCCGGGAGGCGCGGGAGCCGGGAGCGGGGACGGCGCGCAGCGCGAGCGGCTGGCGTTGGGCTGGCGGCTCCCGCGCTCCCGCTCCCGCTCCCACCCGCACACAGCGGCGCGCTCACCCGCACACGCCCGCCAGCTCCCGGGCCGCCCCGGCGCGGGGCACAGAGGCGGAGACCCGGCGGGCAGAGCGCGCCCCGCGCTCGCGCCCGCGCCCACCCCACCGCCTTTGCGCTCCGCAGCGGCGCGCCTTGCCCGGCGCCCCCGCCAGTCCTGCCGGAAGATGGTCAACGACCGGTGGAAGACCATGGGCGGCGCTGCCCAACTTGAGGACCGGCCGCGCGACAAGCCGCAGGTACGCGCGGGCGCGAGGACACGGAGCCCTGGAGGCTGGCCAGGCGGCGGCCGCTCGGGCTGGCTGGGCGGGCACCCAGTGCGGGGGCTGGAGTTTGGGGCGCACCCCGTCGAGGCTCCGGAGGCCCGGGCCGGGATGGGGACCCTCCTCCCCTCCTCCCCTAACCGAGGCTTGAACTCGGGGATCGATGGGGGCGGCACCCCTGCAGGAGCCACGCGCGCTGCGGGCGAGGTCTCCCCGGTCCCTGCGCCCCCAGCGGCCCCCTGGTGCACGCGGGTGCAGAGGGAGTCGGGGACTTAACAGTTCGCTGTGTGACCACAAACAAATCAGCCCCCTTGCTGAGTCTCCGTTTCCTCACCTCTACAATGGGCATCTTAACCGCCCACAAAATCTCCACTCTGGGCGCTACCCTGTGCTAGGCACCTGGTCCTGAACCTGACCCCCTGAATCTCCTCTGCATCCTTCCGGCTTTAGCCATGGCCCTGCATACAGTAGGGGATCAATAAAGATTCATCTCCTGTAGGAACCCTGGGTATTGTGATTTTCTGACTTTTAAGACAAGGAAAGCAGGGCTCGGAGACCGTTGGCTCCTGCCTGAGGCCACGCAGCTCTGCTGGGATTTGAACCCTGGTCTGTATGCTCCAGGGCTGGTTCATTCTCCCTTCCTGCTGCCTCTTCAGGGGCAGTGGAGGTGGGGCTTGGAGGGTGCCCAGGGCTGTGCGGTGGAAGCAGGTGAGGGCAGAGCACCCGGCCTGGCCAGCAAGGGGGCTGGAGTCCGGAAGCCGAGGCGGAGGGGCTGCCCCAGGGCTGCCCGAGGCTGGGCTGCCAAGGGACTGGGGCAGGCTGGCGAAATGAGGAGGCTGCTTGCTCTCGAAGGAGAGGAAAGAATAGGGCTGCCCATTTTAAATTTTAAATTTCTCCCAGACAGATGTCATTGGGGAAGGAACAGTTCATCCTTGCAGCTGCAGGAGGGGAGGGGGCGGCACGGGCAGGCCAGGGTGGTCCCTTCCTCCCAGGAGCCACAGCCTGCTCATTCTTCCTGGCGTCACACAGCCGTGGCCCAGGGGTCCAGCCCTCTATGGTTTGCAAAGCCCCTTTGCATTCATCTGCACTAGCTCCCTTCTCCAAGCAGGCTGGGGGCTGGCACGTCCTCTCTGATCACAGACCAGGGATCAGAGAGGTTGGGAGCATGCCCACGTCACACAGCACATTGACAAGAGGGTGGGGATTCAAACACCGGTCCAAGCACACACCTGTCCCTCTGCTTCTCAGGGATGGGCTGGCCCCTCTTTTAGGTCAGGTCTGCAACTGAGCCACCTCCAGATAACGAGTCCCCTCCTGCTGAGATCTGACTTCTCCCGCTTAGCAAGAACTGTCTTAACTTCTAGACCTGTCCTCCTCCAAGGCCATCCCTAGCTCAGCCCACTGTGCCTTCCCATTGGTCCCTTACAGGTAGCGACTGGTTGTCATTTGCCAGCCCTGAGCCCACACCACACCGCCCCGCCCCAGTTCCAGATCTTTTCTGTGTCATCTTGTTTGCGTCCCTAGGCTTCCCAACACACATGGGGGGGGGAGGGGAGGCGGCGCATGCACGCATACGCGCTCACACACACACACACACACACACACACACATACACACACCCCTTCAGTCAGGGACACCCTGCTTAAAACCCAGCTCAAATGCTGCCACCTCCTCCAGGAAGCCTTCCCTGATGCCCTGTGGCTGTGTCTCTAAGTTCTAGCAGTGTTTAGCCTGTGCCACTCAGCCACCTTGTCCTGGGCCCCTCTTGTATCAGGAGATCCCTTTGGACACAGCCTCCTCTGGAGCCCATCTCTGGGTCTCTCCCTGGGCCCAGGCTCCATTCCTTCCAGGCAGCTCAAGTGAGGCACTGAGGATGTTTGCTGAATCCAACTGAGGCTTCCGCCAGGAAGTGCCTCAGGAGACGGCCAGCAGGCACTGGTCTGTCTCAAGGGGTGTTGCCTTCCGGGGGATGTGTTTGAAATGTGGCTTCAAGGCCTCTGGGCCAGGCCCCGCCTCCCTCTGCTGCTCCGGGGGAGGGGGGGAGGTGTGGGGGGGGCACAGCTTTCAACCCACAGCCCAGCTGTCTGCCCCTTGGCAGAGGAGGCAGCTCAAGGGCTGTGGCTCCAGGGCCCTGGGCCAATAGCAAGCGCCTGCCTCCCCTCCCTGCCCCTTTGGTGACCCAGCATCTAGACAGCCTGTTCCCAGTGCCAGCTCTGGGCTTGTTTGAAGCTTCAGACAAGAGGCAAGGCCTTTCCTGTGCCCGCTGTCAGAAGATAGAGTGCTGCCTGCCCTGGTTCCCTTGGGCCTGCCCTCCCCTGGGCCAGCCTTCCCTCCTCCCTTGCAGCCAGGTTCGCCTCACTCGCTGGCACGCTGTGTGGCTCTGGGGAAGTTACTCCTCCCCTCTGGGCCTGGGCTTCACCATCTGTAAAGTGGGAACAGCAAGCTCCCCTTCCTCCTCATTTCACAAGGGCTGTGTTGGGAGCCACGTGAAATACTGCTGTGTTTTGCAAACCGTGAAGCAGTGTGTACCCGTGAGGAAGGTGTCTCACAGCAGCCCGCCCCCCCCAACAGGCTGGCTGTGTCCTGGTCTCCCCTGTCTGAGCTTCGGGCTCCTTCCTATCAGAGGGGCCTGGCTGAGGCTTTTCAGCAGGGCGTTCCTCTGGAAGCTAACGCGGACGCCACACTCCAAGCACCAGCTGGTCACAGGCCACAGCTCTCGTTTCTTTTTTTCTTTTTTTTTTTTTGAGACAGAGTCTCCCTCTGTCATCCAAGCTGGAGTGCAGCGGCGCGATCTTGGCTGACTGCAACCTCCGCCTCCCGGGTTCAAGCGATTCTCCTGCCTCAGCCTCCCGAGTAGCTGGGACGACTGGCACCCGCCACCACGCCTGGCTAGTCTTTCTGTATTTTAGTAGAGATGGGGTTTCACTGTGTTGGCCAGGATGGTCTCGATCTCCTGACCTTCTGATCCACCATCTCAGCCTCCCAAAGTGCTGGGATTACAGGCATGAGCCACTGTGCCCGGCTGACACCTCTTGTTTCTTGGTCACAGCCACCCTGGGTGCTTGGTGGCAGGGATGGTGAACCCATTTGACAGATGAGGAGGCTGAGACTAAGAAGTGGAGCTGGGACTCGAACCTGGGTCCTCTTGAGCAGCAGACAAGAGCCTTGGAGTAGGATGGAGGGACTTGGTTCAGCCCACTCAGCCCGAGTTAGGGCTCCCGTGTCCAGGCTGTGTGGTTCTCAGGGCATCCAAAGCACCCGCTGTGAGTGGGTAAAGCCCAGGTCCAGAGGTCCTGAAGGACCTTTGTCCAAGTGCAGCCATTTCTGGGGACCGCCTTGGGCCCCGTCTGTCCCAGCCCTATCCAGCCTCAGTGCCTCGTTGCCGGGTGACCTTGGACAAGTTGTCAGCTTGGACTTTGTTAAAACGCCCTCCCTCTCCCTGCAGAAGGAAGAGGCCTTCGCACCTTGGGGCAGGGGGAAAACGATATTTGCCAGGAGTTGAGTTTGTCAGATGCAAGGATCTAGAAATAGACATGATTCTTCTAATCTTGGAGCATGGGGCAGGAAATCACCCTCCAGCTGTCTCTTCTGGTCAGAGGGGCTTGTTTCTGAGCCGTTCCCAAGCCACCCCAAAGGGAGATCAGCTTCCAACCCATCCCAGGCAAGAGCTCTTGATGCTTTCAGCATTTCCCAGAACATTTCAAAAGAAAGGAAATATCTTTGGGAAGTTCTTCCTGTTGTCTAACCTAAATCCCTGCTGCATTAAACTTAATGACTATTTAGGGAGGCCCTACCTCGTGCTGGGAGGTATAGCCTGGTGGATATGGTCTGTGCTTCAGGGAGCTTAAAGTCTCATGGGGGAAACAAGCTCACAGATCAGGTTTGATTACAACCCATCATGGGTGCTAGAAATATCTGTGCCTTTTTCTTGTTCCCTGGGGTTTGGGTTGAGGTCATTGTGCTAGGCTTGGGGTTTCCCGAGCCCCTGCTTCTGAGCTCACTGCTTAGCCGGGGCGTGGTGTGGCTGAGGGGGTGGCATGGACAGATGTTGGGTGAAGGAGGGAGGCCTGGGGAGGCGCCAGCTTTGCGGGGGCAGCAGGTGGGGTTGGTGCCACGGCCGGGTGAGAAATAGGAGGGCTCAGGCTGGGGTGGAGAGATGCTGGTGTGGGCCTCGATGGGCTTGAGGCCTGGGTGGGCCATCTGGGGAGCCAGAGCTGTATGTCGTGGGGAGAATGGGCAAGATCCTTATAGGAAGCAGCTGGACAACCCCTCCGTGGTTCCAGGGCAGCTGCTCCCCAGGGAGTGAGAGAGCTGGGGGGCTTGGAGCCTCCAGGACGGGCAGAGGCTGGCAGCTCCATGGGGCCCTCTTGTCCCCTTGGACACCTTCAGCCCCTCCTCCTGCGCCCCTCCCTGTGGCCTGAGACTCCCGGTGGCTCTCAGCAGGGTTCTGCTTAAGGTTCCCGCTCAGATCTCACAGAACAAGCCTGCAGACTCTTCCTAAGTCTTTGTGACCCCCAGAATGGTGGGCAGAACTACCAGCTTTCACCCCCAGGGGGTCCCTGGGACCCTCCCTCTGCCAGGGCCAGGGACTCAGGGTTCATCCCTGGCTGGGAGCCACGTGACCAGCCGTGTGCCCAGCCAGGAGCAGAGTGGGCTCCTGGGGAGACAGGAGGAATGCCCCCAAGGTGCTGGGCTGAAGCAGGGCCCGGTCCCCCAACCCACAGAGCCCACAAGGCCCCACCCAGGCTCTGTGCAAGCCCCTGCTGGATTCGGAGCGCACAGGACCCTGCCACCTTCAACTTTCCATTCCCCAGTACGGAGCCCAGGATGTGTTTTCGTCATGCTGAACAGCAGAGGGCTGGGTGCTCTCAGGAGATGGGGGTGGGTGGCAGGAGGGCCCTCAGCTGGGTCTGACCTGGCCTGGCCTCCCCTGCAGGGAGACTTTCTTATTCCTACTTTCATCTGTGGAGTGCGGCCCCAGTCTCCTCGGGGGACTCCTGCCAGCCAGCTCCCTTTGGGGGGAGTCTCTGCCAGTTTAGCAGAGCACCTTGGCGTCAGATCCCTTCCTCCTGAGCCCCCAAGGCTGAGGCCTCAGAGAAGGCAGCCTGGACAGGGCCCGCCTGCGCCCGAGGCACCCTGGGGGCCGCTGCCTTCCTGGCATGAGCCGTATCCTCCTTTTGGCCAAGGCTCCCTAGTCAACTCTGGGTGAGCACTGGGGGTCTCACAGGGAACCAAGCTGGGTCCCTCCAGCTGGAAGCACATGCCAGTGGTTAGTGGCAGAAATGGGCCTCGAACCCGGGACTCCCGGCTCAGGCCCTGGCCTCTCTCGTGCCTACCTGCCCGGGATGCCCTGTCTTGGGAGCTGGGGGCTCTGTGGGCATCCTCATCATTCCGCAGCCCCCAGAGAGTGCACCCTGCTTGGCCACAACAGGACGGAGGCACCAGCCCCAGGCGCTCAGTTGGGCTCCTCGGTGCCCAGGGCCCCCTTAGTATCTCTGGCAGATTTCTTCACGAGGCACGTAAACGGCAGCCCATAAAAGCCAACAGTGCTTCATCCTTAAGGTGATCTCTGAAGACTCATTCTCCTCTGCTGAGTGACCTGCACCATCTCCAAGCTCCTCTGTCCCCCTGCCTCTAGGGGACCCCCTGCAGCTTCCTCCAGTCCCTCCCCATTTCAGGACCCTCTGCCTTCCCACCAGGGAGGGTCTTGGGTGGGAGGAGGGTGCACGATACAGCAGGGGTGCGGGAGATGCAGAGGGGGATGGCCAACCTCTCTGCCACGCTAGTGCCAGCCTCGCCAGCCGGGGGACCTTTATGCTACAGTGTCTCGTGATTCGGCCCGAGCTGCTTGGGGCAAGGTGTCTCCCCACGGACTCCAGGAACGAGCGTGACAGGGACTTAGCTGCTGACACAGAGCTTTGTCTATCAAACCCAGCCGTACTGTAGGCGGCTGAGCAAGCGGCCCTGGCGCATCCACCATCCAGAGTGCCCAGCCCTGGGTGCAGGTGGTGGCTCCAGCGTGCTTCCCCCACGAGGCGTTGGATGAGGGTCTTGTGCTCTGAGCCCCAGCTTTCCAATCTGCATAGTGAATTCAACCAGAGCGCCAACTGCACAGGTTACTTGGAGAATTCAGTGACGGGAACATGGTCCATGCCCAAGGAATGGCAGTGATGGCGCAGCGCCCGCCTGTCTGTCAGCTGCTGACCTGCAGGTGCCTGGGGGCTGGGGATGGCCTGAAGCTTGCCCATTCTGTGCCAGGCTATCAGAGGTGGGCACAGGGTCAGAGGCAGCCCTGCTTCGGGGCCCGGGGCCCAGCTGAGGGCTTCAGCCTCTGCCCTGCCAAGCCAGGTAGGTCCCAGGAATGCCCCGTCACCCCTTCCCCATGCCAGCTCCTTCCTCTGTCCATCCGCCCGTCCATCCAGCAGCGGCCGTCGGGTCCGCTGTGTGCCAGGCGGTGAGCAGGTCCCTATCTGTGGAGGGGCTCACAGTCCAAGGCAAGTTTCCTGGACTTGGGATTCGCTAGTCCCTGAATCCCCAGAGACTGTGCCCACAGCTTTCTCCAGACTCCCCAAAAGGATCCGACAGTCAAGAATCAGTCGGATGGAGCGGGCATGGTGGATCGCGCCTGAAATCTTAGCACTTTGGGAGGCTGAGGTGTGAGGATTGCTTGAGCCCAGTAGTTTGAGGCCAGCCTGGGCAAAGTAAGGAGACCCTATTGCTACAAAAAAAAATATCCCCAGCAAGGCCTGGTGGTGTGTGCCTGTAGTCACAGCTACTCAACAGGCTGAGACGGGAGGGTTGCTTGTGCCAAGGAGTTTGAGGCTGCAGTGAGCTAGGGTTGTGCCACTGCATTCCAGCCTGGGCTACAGAGTGAGTCCCTGTCTCTCAAAAAAAGAACCCCAGTAATCCCAGTCCATAGAACAGGAACTTCCCCCGAGCAGGAGCTGGGGCTGACTGGTCCCCAATACCTACGCAGGGACTGGCCCAGAGCCTGGATCGTGCGGAGATCTAGCGCATGTGGAATAGATAATTAAACGAATGAGTGAGTAAATGAAGTCAAAGGCCACGACAATCTGTCTAATCTTGATAAGCACCCTCTTGGGGGGAGCACAGAGGAGCAGCCCCTCCAAGCTGGGAGGAGGGGAGTGGAAACAGTCAGGGAAGGCTTCCTGGAGGAGGTGACAGCTGAGCCCTGAAAGAAGAGAATAAATTAGGCCGGTGGAGGAGGAGGAGGGGAAGCGGATGCTCCTGGCTGGCCAAGGGAGCAGTTTGTGCAGAGCTGGTGGAGGGGAACTGTGCGTTCGGGTCTGGCTGGAGTAAATTGTCTTGAAACGTGGAGCCGGAAATGGACGTGGCTCCCAAGGGGACCAGGCAGGCGTGGAGCGCTGAGTCCTGGCAGCCGCATGACAACAGGGACAGGCCAAGGAACTCTCCTCTGCATCCTGACAACAAAACAGATCTCTTTCCCCGGGGCCTCCATGTCCAGGCGCGTCCCCTCCACCCCACCCTCTTCAGGTGCCAAGCAGGTCCTACGGCAGTTCCTCGTAGAATTTGAATTTACAAAAAAGACTGTTTCCTCTGCCGCATTTTCTCCGTAGGAGGACACAGGGATGTAAGAGGCATCTACCTCTGTTTAACGTATCACTAAGAAAGCAAGCAAGCTGTCAATTACAATTGTACGATGTCCCCCCCCGTTGGAGATTCCAAAACATGAAAAAAAGAGAAGGCGCGTCCCAGCATTGACGACACACCGAAATAACACTTTGGGTGGAAAAAAAATTTCCTCCAGATGCTGTGTGCACATTGATCATGGAATAATAAAAGCCACTAATATTTATTGCGCGAGTACAGCGTGCCAGGCACGGCTCCAAGCGCTTTAATATATGAAGTCTTCAGAAAGTTGAAAATGTGGCGAAAACGTGTCTGAGAGTTGAGGAAATTCAATTGTAGGTGGGGCCTGGCCCGGGGAGGAAGTCAGGAGGTTCGGGGCCCAATCCCAGTTCTGCTTTTATCTGCTGTGTGACTCTGGGCCAGCCCCTTGCCCTCTCTGGGCCTCAGTTTCCCCCATGTATGTAGTGCTCAGGGGCTACCAGCGAGTCTGCCCAGTGAATCTGAGCCCCTGAAAGCGTGTGCGGCTACACTATGGCACCTCCTTTCCCTGCAAGCTGTTCCTCGGCCCTGGCTTCCGGCCAACAAAGGTCTTTATTGCGCCTGGCCTTTGGTGCCGGTTTTGAGACGCGGCTTGTTCTGGAGTGACAGCCGCCTCTGGCCTCGGCCCCCTCCTCCTTGGAGCGCAGCAGGCCTCTTATCCAGGGTTGCCTTCGGGCTACCTGGCCCAGCGAGTTGGCGTTTGCCCTGCCAGGGGCCTGCTCTGTGAAGAGGTGGAGGAAGGAGAGAGGACGGGGTGGGGTGTGAGGAGGAGGTGCCTGGGAGCCCCCGGGAGCCCCCATGTGCCCTGGGCCCTGGAGAACAGTGGGACAGAACACGGGATGTGGCTGCTGCAGTTGGAAGGGACCTCCCATGACGGGTGCCACCACCCAGGGCACTCGTTCCCAGGGACAGCGGGAGACCATCTCTAGCGTCGCTGCTGAGGCATCACAGCTCTCTCTGACCCACATATAGAGAGGTGGGTGTCTCTGTATTGCCCCATTTTACAGGCAAGGAAACTGAGGCTTATAGAGGTGAGGCCCCTCGCCCAAGGTCACACTGTGGGAAATGCAGCTTGGAGACCTGAGCCCTGGCTCCTCTAGCTGCAGAGGTGGGGTCTCCATCTCCAGCCCTTACTGGGTGGGGAGGGCTCCACGAGAGTCACACGGCCACACACATGGGCATGAGGGCGGGCCAGGGGCAGCGGAGGGAAGCCTCACCATTTTCCTTGTGTGTTCGTGTCTTCCTGCCTCAGTTTCTCTTTCCCATGCTCTCTGTCTCCATCTCCCCACTGGGGCTCTGCCTCTCCACTTTCTCCCTGCGGCACCTGCTGTGTCTCTCCCGCTGGATCTGTGCGTGTCCCTGTCTCTCTGTCTCCCCTTGGACTGTCCCTCGCTGCCTGTCTCATCTGTCTCTCTGTGACGCCCTTGCCCAGCCCCCAAGAAGGAGGTCCTCCGAGCCCGGGTATGCCGCTAACGCTGCCCCTTCTCTCCCCTGTCCCTCTGTCTCTGTCTGTGCGTCCCGGGCGGGCCTGCAGCGTCCGAGCTGTGGCTACGTACTGTGCACCGTGCTGCTGGCCCTGGCTGTGCTGCTGGCCGTGGCCGTGACTGGGGCCGTGCTCTTCCTGAACCACACCCACGCGCCGGGTACGGCGCCCCCGCCTGTCGTCAGCACCGGGGCTGCGGGCGCCAACAGCGCCCTGGTCACCGTGGAGAGGGCCGACAGCTCGCGCCTCAGCATCCTCATCGACCCGCGCTGCCCCGACCTCACCGACGGCTTCGCCCGCCTGGAGAGCGCACAGGCCTCAGTGCTGCAGGCGCTGACCGAGCACCAGGCCCAGCCGCGGCTGGTGGGCGACCAGGAGCAGGAGCTGCTGGACACGCTGGCCGACCAGCTGCCCCATCTGCTGGCCCGAGCCGCGGAGCTGCAGACAGAGTGCATGGGGCTGCGGAAGGGGCACGGCACGCTGGGCCAGGGTCTCAGCGCTCTGCAGAGCGAGCAGGGCCGCCTCATCCAGGTAGGGCTGGGGTCTGCGTCTTGGGGTCTTGCTGGAGGCAAGGGGTTGCTGCTGCCACGTGCCAGGCGCCTGATGTCCACGGCCTCACTTAATCCCCAAGTGGCCCAGACAAGGGGCTGCTGCTGTTCCCATCTGCAGACAAGCCACGAGCCTTGGAGTGGTGCCGTCACTCATCCCACTGCACAGCCCATGGGAGCCAGGATTCAAACCCAGCTTCTTTCCCGGTGACCCTGGGTCATTGTAGGGCACCCCACGGCACTTGGCGGTCAGTCAAATCCAGGGCTTGAGGGCTTCCCTAGTGCGCCAAGATGCAGCTGAGGTAGGGCATTGCCCCATCGGGGCAAACGGAGGCTGAGAGAGCAGATGTGACATGCTGAAGGTCATGTGGCTGCTCCGCGCTCCCAGGTCAGAGAGAGCTGCACCCCATCTCTCCACCCCGTCCCAGTTCACGATTATGCAATGCCCACCGCTTCCCAGGGACGGACAGACAGTCCGGGCAGCCCAGCCACACCCGTAGCCTGTCCCAAACCCCCTCCACCGTCCCATGCCCTTTTCCCAGCCAAGCCAGGCTCCAGCCAGCCCAGATGGGTCTGGATGAAGCTTTCCGACTCCAGCCCTGAGACCATGCTGGAGGCGCCACCCACAGGCGTTCCTCCTTCACAAGAGGAGGGATTTGGGATCATCTCATCTGACTCTGCCATTTTCCAGGACAGAAAATGGTGGCTCAGAAAGGGGTCGTGAATTTTCCTGGGAGTGGTGGCCAGGTCAGGCTTGGAATCCAGCTGCCCTGGAGCCCTGCCCAGCCTCTGGCCCTGTGCCACGTCCTCCTGGTCACTCAGATCCCTGGAGGCTGGGAGCCAAGCCCCTGCCCCCACGGGCACCCCAGCCCCCTCCGCCCCACCCCTCAGCAGCCACTAGGAGAACCAGGCATTTGGTTACCCAGCCGCTCATGAGCAATGGGCCCTTTCCCTCCCTCTGAAGGCTGCAGCTGGAGAAATTACAGTCCTCATCGCCCTGTCTGGGTGACTGATGGGAAGGTGGCTCCCCCTCCCGGGGTGGGAGGACATTTCGACCACCTTCCGGCTGCCCCTCCATCTGCAGTTCCCCAGGCCTCGTCAGCAGGGTGGGGGCGGGGGTACCTCCTGACTTTCTGGCTCGCCCCCCATCTCACTCTCCAAATCGCTCAGCCCCTGGTCAGCTCAGGCCCAGCTCACGAAGGCCCCCCCTTAGAGCTGGAGTGGAGGGTTTAGAAGGGGGACCCCAGGGCCCTGCCCTCCCAATGGCCTGCACAGAGGTACAGAGTGTTCCCACAAGACTAAGGGCCATTCTGGGCCCGGGAGTGCGGGCTCACCTGACATATTTACTTCCCCAAAAATGTTTGATCTGACTCATTCCCCACAGACTGGATGATTCAAGAGACAGTGTGTCTTTATGTTTCATTCAGAGGCAGCGAGCCGTGCTCCTAACTCCTCCTTCCAAGCTTCCCGGACCCTCAGCCGATCAGCACAGACGTGGGCTTCTCAAAGCTGTTCCCAAAGGCACCCTGGGTTGCAATGGCCAGAGGAGCTTGTTAAAAGGCAGCTTCCAGCCAGGCTCGGTGGCTCACGCCTGTAATCCCAGCACTGTGGGAGGCTGAGGCGGGTGGATCATGAGGTCAGAAGTTCAAGACCAGCCTGGCCAAGATGGTGAAACCCCATCTCTCCTAAAAATACAAAAATTAGCCAGGCACAGTGAGCAGGCACCTGTAATCCCAGCTACTCGGGAGGCTGAGGCAGGAGAATTGCCTGAACCCGGGCAGCAGAAGTGGCAGCGAGCCGAGATAGCGCCACTGCACTCCAGCCTGGGCGATAGAGTGAGACTCAGTCTCAAAAAAAAAAAAAGGCAGCTTCCTGGCCAGGCACAGCAGTGACTCACACTGTCATCCCAGCACTTCGGGAAGCCGAGACGGGCAGATCACTTGAGGTCAGGAATTCATGACCAGCCTGGCCAACATAGTGAAACCCCATCTCTACTAAAAATATAAAAATTAGCCCAGCAGGCACCTGTAATCCCAGCTATTCAGGAGGCTGAGGCACGAGTATCACTCAAACCCAGGAGGTGGAGGTTGCAGTGAGCTGAGATTGCGCCGCTGCACTCCAGCCTGAGCTACAGAGTGAGGCTCTGTCTCAAAAAAGAAAAAGAAGGCAAGTTCCTGGGCCTCATCCCCAACCTCCTGCAGCCCCCCGGTCCGGGGTGATTCTCACGTGCAGTCCCTGAGGCCTACTGTTGACGGCTGAGCTGAGCCATTCTACCCTGAGGGTTTGAGTCCGCAGAGCTGGGACCCAGTCCAGGCCTCCTCCATGCCAGCTGTGGGATGCTGGGCAGGTGGCATCCCCTCTCCGGGCTGCGTCTTTGTGACATGTGCGTAACTCGGTCTATGCTGAGGGGATATTGGAGCGCCTGGCTGCAGGGCTGGGCTGGCATCTGTTTACGTGGGGGATACTCACCGTCTGCACCATCAGCAGCTCCTTATTCCTAAAGTAGAAATGGTTTGTGAGCTGAAATTTAAAACTGTGGGGAGCCACCATGCCGCTATTGAAAACACCCTTCCCTTTTTTTTTTTTGAGACAGAGTTTTGCTTTTTTTACCCAGGCTCGAGTGCAGTGGCACGATCTCTGCTCACTGCAACCTCCGGCTCCTGGGTTCAGGCAATTCTCCTGCCTCAGCCTCCTGAGTAGCTGGGACTACAGGCACGCGCCACCACACCTGGCTAATTTTTTTGTACTTTTAGTAGACAGTTTTTCACCAGGTTGGCCAGGCTGGTCTTGAACTCCTGGCCTCAGGTAATCCACCCGCCTTGGCCTCCCAAAGTGCTAGAATTACAGGCTGAGTCACCGCACCCGGCCTTATTAGCCCATTTTATGGAGAGGCAGACTGCGGCTCTGAGTGGCAGGTGCCTGTGCAGACTGGCTCACGCAGCCGAGCAGTGCCGGGAACAGCAGCTCCAATGCCAATGCCTCTAAGCGCCGCCCAGCCAACCCCCCACATGCGCCTGTGCAGCTCAGCGAGCAGGGACTGACTTCCCCATTAATTCGGGGCATGTTTATATGTACATTTTCAACTTTAATCATCTGCTGGTTTAAACGGAGGTCTTCCCTGCCCGTTAGCAAGAGGGAGGAGGCCGTGCCTGTTTTTTGCGTGCGTTGTGGCTGTGTTGACTCAGATAAACGGGCAGCACCGGTGTGAATTAGCCAAGTGATCTTTGCCGCACACACATCGCAGGGCGGACCCCACCTGCCGCCCTCCCACAGGGGGTGCTACCTGTGTCCCTCTGTGGAGCGTCCCCAATGGAGTTCAAACGCTCTGCCTGCCCATCTGAGCTCCTCTCCCCCCTGGTCTCAGCCCTCACTGAATCACCTGCTCAGCAGAGGGGAAACTGACAGGGAAACTAAGAGCTTTGCAGGGCCCCTGCCTCTGGACGAGCTGAGAATCATATTTTGTAAACTGCTGGCACTGTATATTTCTATTTTCCTTCCATGAATGGGCTATTATCTGGCAAGTGACAGGTTCGGTGTGTAAAGACCCGGCCTGCTCCACGATCGCTGGCTGGCCGGCTGTAGCCCGCCACTGCCTCATCCTCCACGTGGTCCTGCAGCCCAGGGTGGGGGCAACAGACCCCAGACCCTTGAGGCAGCCAACACAGGTGGAGGTGCTAGGGGACAGCATTGCACTTGGCAAGCTCCAGCCCCAGGCTGTGATGGAGGGAAGGGCGGGAGTGAAGGGTGCAGAACCACGGCTGAGCTCGCAAGCCCAGGCTCCCCTGAATCCCCCCACTCAGAGAACCAGGGCTCATTATCTTGGGTTACAAGGAAACGGAGACATGGAGAGGTTCGGACGCTGTTCCAGAGTCACACAGCTAGTGAGTGGGGGAGGGACTGGAGTCAAAACACAGTCACCACCAGAGCCTGGTCCAGACCACTGCCCCGTCCCCACCCTGACCCTGCTCTTCTACACAAGAACACGGCCCCAGGCCCCTTTTCTGCCAGCCAGCCGGCCCTGGGGAGGTAGCCTGAGTCCTGGTTCCCACGCCGTCCTTCACTCTGAGATCGCTCTTTCAGGGCCTCAGTTTCCCTATTTGTTACAAGAGATGACAACCTTAAATCTTCCCTCTTTGCAGCACTATGGGGGTCCCAGTGAGGTCATGGACATCGGAGAGACACAGAAACTCAGAGTGATGTTTGCATGAGGGGTGGGGGTGGGATGGGGGGAGCCTTGTTGATCTGGAAGCCTGGGAGCCTGCACAAAGGCTCCTGCGGCCTCCCCAGCCTCAAGGCACCCTTCTGTCAAGGGCAGATCAGTCACTCCCGCCTCAGCAGCCTTGCTCGGGATCAGAAGAGATGGCAGTGGGAATGCTGGTAGCCTGGAAGGTTCTGTGGGAACCTGGTGTGCTGAGTACCTGCCGGTTACTGACACTGGGTTGGCACTTCCCCCGTGTTGTCACTGGTCCCCATAGCAGTTTGTCCAAGCCCGGGGAGACAAGGCGTGGTGAGGACACTTACCCCCAGTCATATAACTGGCAAGCGGACGCGCTGGGCTGAAGCTGGATTTGCCCAACGTCGAGTGGCACCTCTCCCTGCATGGCGCGGCCTCCTCCAGTTTACACCCCTGGGCTGAACACGCAGAGATGGCTGAACACAGCCTGGGGCAGCAGGGGTGGCAGGTGCCTGCTGGAGCTTCCTTCCCCTCCCGCCTGCTCCCCGGCCCTCTGAGCCCTCGGGGTCCCAGAGCACAGGCTCCATCATAGCCCGGCTGACCCCTCAGACCACCTTGGACAGAGACCCAGGGGCCAGGGCAGGGTGGGGGCTGCCATTGAACCAGGAGCCCACCTCTGCCTCAGGGGAGGGCCCACTCTGGCCGGTAACATGCTGTGTGCGCCACCCAACCCCCAGCGGAGCCCCTGCCCCCTCGGCTCACCCTGTGTGCTCTGCAGCTTCTCTCTGAGAGCCAGGCCCACATGGCACACCTGGTGAACTCCGTCAGCGACATCCTGGATGCCCTGCAGAGGGACCGGGGGCTGGTCCGGCCCCGCACCAAGGCCGATCTTCAGAGAGCGCCTGCCCGGGGAGCCCGGCCCCGGGGCTGTGCCACTGGTGAGTGGGGCAGGGGCTGCCGTCCTCTGGGGACTCGGGTCCCAGCCTGGGGATTGGGGAAGCTGGGGTGAGGGTTCCCCAGCCATGAGATTCCTAGGGCTGGACCCTGCATCCATGCAGCCTGTGCAGAAGCAATCTCAGTCCATTTTTGAGGAAAGCAAGACCCAGAGAGGGTGGCTGACTCACCCAGCCTCAGCAGGGGGTGGCAGAGCCAAGGTCTGACTCCCACACCCAGTGCTGTCTCAACCCCAGGGTGGACAGACAGCGTGGGCGAGGGGGCCGGGCAGGAATGCACTGGGGACTGCAGCCATCCTGATGGCCTTGCCTGCTTCAGGCTCCCGGCCCCGAGACTGTCTGGACGTGCTCCTAAGCGGACAGCAGGACGATGGTGTCTACTCCGTCTTTCCCACCCACTACCCGGCCGGCTTCCAGGTGTACTGCGACATGCGCACAGACGGCGGCGGCTGGACGGTGAGTGCCTGGGCCGGGCGGGCGGCAGGACGGGCTTGGGGGCTGGGAGGCCGGGTACCTGAACCCCAGCCTTCCCAGCAGCCCCTCACCCAGCCCTCCACTGTGACCTGTGGACTGGCCCCGCCCCCCGGCGCTCTTCTGTCTGGCCTAACCCCACCCCTACAGGATGGGGGGAACAGGGGACTCCATGAGCAGACCCTGGGGAGCCCCCTCCAGAGCAGACACTAGGCAGGAGCCACCGTGGGCTCCCTGAAGTCCCCAGCCGTAGTCCTTCCGGGGGGCAAGGAAGGACCCAGCAAGCTGGGGTTCAGGCCTAGGAGGACACGTGGCAGCAGGAGCCTCTTGCTAATGTGAGTTGAAGGGCTGATGTTGGTGGGCGCCTGACTTTCTGAACTACCCAGTATACGGTGCGTCAGCCGAGAAAGGGGAGTGTGCCTGCTGGGAGTGAAGGCCCCCCGAGGCTACGGGCTGACAAGAGCTATCTGATTCCTGCGCCTCCGGGTTCCTGCCTGGGTGGGAATCGAGGGAGATGTCCCAACTGCCAGTCACAGGGCAAGCCCAGGACCGCAGCAGGTGCCAGGAGAATGGGGCAGAGGCCCTGGTTTGAAGACCCCAGGGGTCTCAGCCCCAGAGGGGTCTCCAGGAAGCCCCTTCCTGAACTGGGTTGACACGCTTTGTCTGAAAAGGGCCGGATGGGGAGGCTTCGAGCCCTGCAGTCCGCACAGTTCCAGGAAGGACGGAGGGAAGTTGTTGCCACTGAGACTACTGGCATCTCGGTGACAGCAACCTCCCTCTGTCCTTTGCAGGGAAAACAGCCGCAGAGCAGACCAAAAGGCACAGGTGTGGCCTCGTTCCAGGGACACCTGTAGACACCGAAATGTGAATTTTATAATATTTTCACATATTCTTCCTTAAATGTTATTCAGTGGATATTTAAATTTTTTTCTTTTGACTTTTTAAGAACCATCTTCAGGTAGGGCTTAGCGGCTCACGTCTGCAATCCCAGCACTTTGGGAGGCTGAGGTGAGTGGATCACCTGAGGTAGGAGTTTGAGACCAGCCTGGCCAACATGATGAAACCCCGTCTCTACTAAAAATGCAAAAATTAGCCTGGTGTGGTGACATGCACCTGTAAACCCAACTACTCGGGAGGCTGAGGCAGGAGAATCACTTGAACCTAGGAGGTGGAGGTTGCAGTGAGCCAAGTTTGCGCCATTGCCCTCCAGCCTGGGTGACAGAGCAAGACTCCGTCTCAAAAAAATAAAAACCATCTTCAAAGTTCAGACCCTTCTCAGCTCCCAAGCTGCGTATAGGCGTCGGCAGGAGCTGTCCTCTGGGTGGGGCTTGCTGACTTCATCCTAGAGCTGGGGACCCCTGGTGGTGGGAGCTGAGCTCACTGCCCCCTTCTCCCACTGCTGGGCTTCTGACACCCTCCTGAGGCTCAGGCTTGGGGTTGGGCGTTAGCAGGGCCACCCCTGGCCGCCGAGGGATAGTGTGCACATTTTTAAAATGCATATTTCTTCCTTTGTGCAAAATGGGATGCTGGGCTTGGAAGAGAAAGATGTGAGCCCTGCCCACTGGCCAAGTGCTCTTGAGCAGTGAACAGCCTGCACTGCTGTCCGTGGAGGTCATGCCACCCCAAAAGCTGCTCGGCCAGGAGAATTGGCTCTTTAAGTCTTCTCAGCTTATTTCATTTCAGTTGGACAGACATTTTTGGGCACCTACTGTATACTGGGTTCTGGGGAAGCCTCTGTCCTAGTCCTCTTGAGGAGTTTACAGGCCAGGGAGGATTCGGGGTGGAAGAAGTCACGGCAGCAGAGGTGACGGTAAAGCTTCCTGGCGAAGGGGGCATTTCTGATGAGCCATGAAAGCAGGGAGGATTTCTGAGCGCGGGCAGGAGGGAGAAAGCATTCCAGGAGGAGGGGCGGCCTGACGAGGCTCCCACAGCACATTTGGGGAGCGGGGCCCGAGGGATTTGTGGTGCGTGAGGAGATGAAGCTGGAGTGTCCGGCCCCAGGCTGCGGGGTCAAGACAGACACTCGGGAGCTTACTGGGGTGCTGAGAGGAAGACGGGGTGGGGACTGTGCCTCGGGAGAGGTGACTCCACGGTGTGCGTCCTTGGGCAGTGGGAAGAGGGAAGAGGAGGAGGCGTTTCTAGTGTTCGGTCTACAGGTCTGTGACGGAGCCCCGACGCCAGATGCCAGATGTCAGAGAGGCAGGGGGCCGGGAGGTTCGAGCTCTGGCTCTGTCACCCACAGGCCGCCGGGGCGTGGCTCTCAGTCCTGCTGTGTGACCTGGGGCAACTTCCCTCGGTTCTCTGAGTCCCCTTTTCCTTGGCTGTGAAATAGGGACACCTGCCTACATCCTTAGATCTCTTAACTGCAAACACAAGAGTGTGGGGCGCTCAGCCCAGTGGGAATGTGCTGGGGAAAGACTGGGAGGCTGGAGATACCAGGAACAGAGGCCCCGGACCAGGCCAGGGGTGGCCGGGTGAGAAACCCACTGCCCCAGGGCTGCTCCCACCGAGTGCAGGAAGCAGCTCAACCTGGGCGTGCCCCCACAACCAAGATGGATGTGGGGCAGGGGCTGGGTCCATTCCTCCAGTTCTTGCTTCCCCAGCTGCTTCCAGTTGGTGGGCCTGAGTCCCAGGCCTACACCCTCCCCACAGTTAGCTGGCATTCGTAGCAGCTACGGTGGGAATCACCTGTGCCTCCTGCCAAACCTCAGAAAATGAGGAAGACAGCCAAGAAGACACACGTCCATTTTGGTACTCCGTGGGCTTAAGCTAGGCTTCTGTTACCAAACGCTCGCAGAGCATTTAGTGAGAATGGCTGTGACACTGAGCCCCGCCCCGTGCCAGGCACTGGCAACACCCCAGCCATCCAGAGTGTGTGTGACCCTGCCCCCAGCCAGCTCCGACCTAGAGGGAGGCCACGGTGGTCCAGGAGATGGAACGGGGGTCTGAAGCCGTGAGAGGTGGGAATCCGGCTCCTTCCTGGGGTGCCCAGGTGGAGGCTTCCCTGGCCTCTGACCTTGGACTTGGGGCATGAGAAGAGGCCTGCACAGTGCCTCCGTTTCTCACCTGGGATCTTGGTGTTGACTATTTTTCTTTCTTTTTCTTTTTTTTTTTTTTTTTTGAGAGACAGAGTCTCGCTCTGTCACCAGGCTAGAGTGCAGTAGCACGATCTCAGCTCACTGCAACCTCTGCCTCCCGGGGTCAAGCAATTCTCCTGCCTCAGCCTCCCGAGTAGCTGGGACTGTAGGTGCACGCCAACAGCTAATTTTTGTATTTTTAGTAGAGACAGGGTTTCACCATGTCGGCCAGGGTGGTCTTGATCTCTTGACCTTGTGATCTGCCCACCTTGGCCTCCCAGCATGCTGGGATCACAGGCACGAGCCACCGCACCCGGCCGGTGTTGACAATTCTTGGAGTATTGATGTCCAGGCCCACAAACATCTGGGGGAGGGGTTTAACATCAGACAAAACAAGTGCCCGAGAAACAGGAGAGAGGGAAGCTCTTGGCGGGGATTTGTGGCGGGAGGCGGGGTGCAGGCAACCCCGGTCAGCTTTGAAAGGGGTCATCCATCCCCTGCAGGGGCAGGACGCCGGGAGGTCCGCACGGGGCGGGGGGGCAGCAGAGGGGCGAGTGCACCAGCAGGGCAGAGCCGGCCTGTTAGGAGCCAGCGTGAGAGCAGACGAGAATCCCCCCAAGACCCCAAAGACAGACACATCTCTAAACCTGTCTTCAAGCTCCGGAGGAGAGCTTTTAAATGTACTGGATCTGCATCTGGGGGATAAAAGCTATTTTGTTTTCCTAACACCGAGAATGTCTGAGTTATGGCATTTGCTTCTGGGAACCCCTGGGCGGGCGGAACAGTGAGAAGGCACTAACCGAACCCAGAAATCAGAGTTAAGGGTCAGGACAGGCTTAATGAGAGATCAGGACGCCGGACCTGGCCATGCGTCTTCCACTCCGGTGGGCGTGAAGCCAGTCTCCCGGGAAGTCAATCAGGATTTGGACTGGGAGGCGGGTCGTTCCGATGGCCCCTGCTTGCTCTGGGGGCTCCGGGAAAGAGGCTTCTCATCTGAGAAAGGCTTGCCTGGCCAGGGAGCGTTAATATCCATTTGGGCCTCCATCAGAAGCAGTCTTTTCCCAGGAACCTCTGGACATCTGTCAGGATTGCCCCCCTGCCACACAGAATCTCTCAGAAACTCAATTTTTGTTTGGGAAGGAGCTGGCTGCCGCCTCTCCAGCCCCGGATACCATCCATCCTCATTAGGTTCTCTGTCCAAACTGCCAGGCCTTGAGTGCCAACGTCACCTGACCCTCCCTGGAGGACAGGGCACCTGAAGCTGTGCCCTGGAGACTCTGCGGCTGGACACTCCCTCCAGAGCCTGTGTGGGCGAGGGCAGAGCTCAGCAGCCCTGTCCCCAGGGTCACTTTACAGTTCATACGCCCCTGCTCCCTCCCCTGGCATCACACCAGTGCCCTTCAATCCCCGGAGGCGGGCGGGGCAGCCTTGGAGAAGGCCAGGGATGTGCCCACGGTCACTCAGCAGCCTCCAGTCCTCTCTCAGTGGCACATGCTTATTCTTATGTTCAAACCCTGAGTGTCCAAAGCAAGCCAGGCGCTGGGAGGTCAGCAGCGTCTAGACAGGTCAGCGAGCTCCTGGCCTGGCGGACAGAAAGACATGACAGCTGATTTATGTCAGGGATGGGGAGCCCCGGGGCCGGGAGGAGAAGCCCCTACTCCAGTCTCGGGGGTGGGAGGAGTGAGGGGCAGCGAAATGGTGAGTCTTGTTTGGGGGCCACGGCGGCTGGGGGCTACTGGCCTACCTGGTTTAAAGAGGTTTGGGTCCAAGACAAGGCGGGGAGGTGGCAGGGGCTGGGTCTTGCAGGTGATCCTCAGGCCCCATCATCATGCCCATCACAGGTCCAGCCCTTGCGTGGCAGGAGTCCCAGGGGCAGGGACCACACCCTCTTTCGGCCACATTAGCTCA